TTAATTTAAGGCAGACTGCTATTTTTTCCTTTTAAACTGGGTGTGCATTACTATATTTTGTGATATTTGCTCCTACTGCCATTGATGTTGAAAGCTTTGCCACTGACATGAATGGAAAGAGGATAAGACTTAGAATGTGCTTATGATATAACCTTGTGATTAACATTAACAGCTGGTAGGGGTGTTTTTTTTAATCTTAAGCCTCATAAATACAGCTGAAAAAGCATTTATCTGAAAGTGGAAAATGAAGGCTTAGCTAAAGCTGTGCAATCTTTTCGTAATGAAACCCAGAACTAGCCTGATTTGGGAGAGCTGCTAGAGGTTTGACATTCAGGCCGGTTTTGCTAACCCCTCAGTGAACATAGTGGGTTTACAGATTCAGATGAAAACCACATACAGCTCAGCAGTGATTTTGGCTGAACAATGCTTTCAGCTTTTGCTCAAACTTGAAACTTATTGGGTGTGAACCCACAATAACCAAAACTTATAAGAAAAAGAAAGACTGGCATGAGCACCATGTGGACAGAAATCATGCAAGACTCTCAGAAATCCAAGTACGGCAAGCAGTAGCTGCGGGGGCAGATATGTTAGGCATTACAGATGTTGAGTTCTCGAAGCTCCACCACCATCTGAATGGACAAAGAGGAGTGTAATCAGTGAAGCTCAAGTTAATCATATCAGGCACTACATGACAACTGTAGTTTATCCAGATCGTTTCCCAGTGCATTGACATTAGCATTGCCTTTTATAATATGTGCATTGTATAGTAGGTGGTGATTTGGTGGTTTGGGAAGTAGCCAAGGAAAGAGACTCAAAGTATAGTGAACTTTCTTCCAAAATTGATGTTGAAATTTGGCTACCTGAAACACATTACAAGTCATGGTTAAATCAGTAGGGTATTAAAAAGGAAATGACTCTTGAGCAGAGAAGTTTTGCTTTTCCCCTCTCTTGTATTGTAATCCTCTGACCAGCCCTAAATCGACAACTAAGCTAAAGGAAATTAAAGAAAAGATGAATAAAAAAAAAATCTCAAGCTGGGTCAAATTCATCCCCAATGTAGCTTAGCTCAAGTAGAGTTAAATCAATGGAGTTCCACCAGGGATGAATTTGGCTTATTGTCAAAAGGAAATGAAGCAACTGTGCCCTCATTTACAGCTATCAACTTAAACAGAAATTTCATTATAAGGGAATTTCTGAAAACAATTCCTAGGTAAATGAAAATTGCTAAGGTTGAACAGCATGTGTGTTTGAAAATTCCCTGAAGTCCACAACTGTCTGCTTACTTGGTTGATACACTGAACGCTGGCTAATTGAGTGCTCACATTGTTTCAAAGGTCTTATAAAATCAGAGTAAACTATAAAATGAATTGCAGATTGTCTTCAGAAATCTCCTTTCTTTGTTTTCCCTACATTGAATCTTAAATACTCAATTGCAAAAATAGTGCTAATTCAAAAGTAGGAGGGCAATTGCAGATAAAAATGATGCTAGTAATATCAATTTTGGTTACCTTGGTATTCTTGATTTGATTTCCCCCATTCCAATGTAAAAGTAATGTAGAATTTCTTAAGCTGCACACTTCTGCCACTTATGTTCTCCAGAGTATGATCTAAAGAGATCCTCTGAAGCTCCTCTCTATTTCCAAATAAAATAATGAATTAAAGCTTACATTTAATACTGTAATTTCCAAACAGATTCCTTCCTATATGTTTTACTATAAAGCTATTTTACCATAAGGATAATTTCTGTTCTAAGAGGATCTATGGAATTGTGGTTGAGATGTGAGATGATCTGTTATAAAAGTTCAGGATTAAGATAAAACTAGGTTAAAAAAAAAAAAAAAAGAAAACCAAAAAACCAACCCTTGACTTTACAGTTTTCTTTTTTGAATTGGCAGCAAAACTTTCAATCAGAATGCAAAATATTTGCAAGAAATTTTAAACTTGTGCTGGGAGAATGTTTTGAACACATTTAGAAACTTTGCTCTCACAGCCTAAAAACTGCATGTAATGTTATAATGTAGAATATAATTTACATTAAAACCTACAAACACAACTAAACTAGAACTAAACATATTTTCCAAGATGCTGTTCCCTTAAAATGCTGAGGATGCTGAGATGATGATGATATTTTGTGAATGTGCCATGACCACGACTTAGCTTGTCCTTAAAAATATCTGCTCCTTGAAGGCTTGTGAAAATCCTGATCTGAAGCCTTAATCTAATTGTCAGCAACTCTAAGCAAGGGTCAGCTTCAGGTTGACACCACCACCAGAGGCAAGTCCATCAGAGTCACCTAACCTAAAAGGTAACTTTTAGAAAGATTCAGCTGCTTTAGTACTGCATATGGAAAGTATATTAATTCAGCCAGTTTTGATGAAGTAGGAGTGCTGACTATATCCCGAATGTTCTCACATAGCAAACGCCAAAGAAAATACTCTGAAGACTTCTTAAGGGCAGGTCATAAATCATTGGAAGAAGCTATTTTTTCTCAGGCCTAACTCACTTGTAATCCAAGGTCTTGGTAAGGTACTTGGATAATATTAGAAGTAAAATGAGAATTAACTCATTTTAAGTAAAACAACATTCTCTAACCAGATAATGCCATCAGAGTGGCATAAGGAAATCAAAGGTTCTATCAGATGTTCACAATCACAGGCTAACTCCAAGAAGGCTCCAAATCAGGAGATATCTTGGGTCCTTCAAGCCATTTAGATATGCTTATTTATATAATATTGCGCATCTGTCCCACAGAGTTTTAGCACAGGCTTCGTCCCATAGTAACATCTTTAATGGCTTGTTTTATCAAAATCACATCTTGGTTTCTTTGTTTTATTCCCATTACTTGAAGTAGAAAGGACTGCAGAAAGCAGATTTTAACTAACTAGCAGAAAAAGACTAGCCACTGAGATGTAACAGTTACCAGGTGTACATATAAAAACACTGAAAAAGCAAACTATGCATTTCAATTGTTACACTACAAGTAACAATTGCTTGCAGTGCAATGACATGGCAATTGAAACAGCTAAGGACACAGCTAGAGATCATTAGGAACAGAGGACAACAGCCAGAAAGCCATGCAAGACCTCTGACTTCATATCACCTGATTCACTGTCAGATTCCACAGACTGAACCTGCAAATGGATGCTTAGAAATCTATGTGTCAAACAAACAGACTCAATCTTGGCTATATGGTTACACTTCTGGAAAGCTGAATTTCATCTTTTTCTTTCACATATGCCAACCATTTAACAAAGCAAAAAGACAGACAGCTCTACACAGAATAAAGAAAATAAACTTTCATGAACTGGGCAAGCAGAGACTCATGTGCCAACTATCACACCACATAAAGAAGAAATATATGGTAAGACTCAGTGTGAGTCAGTATAAAACGGGTTGATTCAGAACCTCACCACAAAGGCTGCATCTAGCAAAGTTTTGCTGGGGGCAAACATTTCCCAACATACTCATATTGTTGGCAGGAATAAAAAATATTAATATATCCACTGGCAGCAAGTGAAACCTGTAATTTACAGAAAGCATTTTTAAAAGCACAGACAGGTTTGCTTCTTTCTTCTCACTTAAATGGGAGCAACCTTACACCAACATACAGAGGTCTTTCAACTGCAAAGAAGATGCAAGGATCAAACACTCAGCAATCATATTCTACTCAAAGAACCAAATGCATTAAAAAGTGAGCAGCCTATCAGCCCTCCAAAAGTTAGTAACCCTAATTTTCATGGCTGATACATTGATTTCAAAGGGACTCACAGTTTGAGTAAGGCAAATACTAGAATAACTACTGTGAGAGTCAGGCCTAACAAAGGAAAAAGTGGTTTCAGTGGTAACATACTTTCAGCAATGCCATAAATCATTTATGCATGCAACAGATTCAATTAGAGCCCATGTGCTCTAAAGTTAGGTTTGTGTATCCATAACAGCAGGATTTTCACTGAAGGTCATTCATCTTTGGACTTTCATTTCAACATTTCAGTTTGGATCTTTTTCTTGTTTTTAATTATAAGATTAGGAATTAATATTTTCAATACATAAAGTTAGGAATGTAGTAAGTACAGCTTCTATAGGCATCTCCTAGTAAAAGCATATCCTTCTAGTCTTCATTTGTGAAGACGTGATGTCTTCCAAAAGGCAAAGTACTGGTCATCACAAGACTGAACCTAAGACAGAAGCTTGGATAATTTTTATTTTTTATTAAATTTTTAGTATTTGATTTAGATTTCAAACATTGTTAATTGTCGAGAAACGTGACTGGTCAAATTTTTCTTGTTGCAACATAAAGAACTAAGAATGCAGTGGTTCCTTTGAAAGATACATATTTTAAAACCTTGATAACTTTGTAGGCAAATCTTCTATTTTTAATAGCCTAGTGAATCTCAGGAGGGAAAGATGTGTCATGTATGGAGAAGGGGGAGCAAAGGAGAGAGTGTGGAATCTCTTCTTAGATTACTCTGCTGCGACTTTCATCCTAAATGATAGCTCAGTTAAGAAACACAGGCACAATTCCCACTGAGGAAAGAACCAAGTGTAGATAGCAGCCCCAGGTTTGAAAAGTTTGCCATCTCTTAAAGCAGAATTTCAGCAGAACACAGCTGAAAATAAAATGCTCCACCTATCAAAAAAAATTATTTTAGCATAAACAGTAATAAGCATCCATGCATGTTTTTAAATAATGTCCTAATACATGTTAGTAAGATAAAATAATTATTCATAGATTATCCTTTTGATTTTCCAGAACCAGACACATTTAATATGAATTCCTTTTAAGCAAATTTTAATTAGGGCTTTACCATATTTAACTATAGGTATATAATCCCTCAAGTGAAAACAAAAACCAAAGTGGAAGACACTTTGTTCACATTTCCTTCCAAAAATATTTTTGCCTCCAAAGCTTTGCTAGGAAGAAAATGCTCCTGAAAATGATACAAATGGTTTTGACATTAGGAAAAGTAAACAAGCAAAATAAAGATGGAAAAATCATGCGGTCAGTTTGCAAGTGCTGTTTATTGTTTGAGGCAGGGTTAAAGCCTTTATAAAGACAAGAACATATATGCAACCAGACTGAAAGTGACATTAGGTTATTCCAAACACCCCTGCTCAGAACCCTGCTGCCTGTAATATTGCCATGGCCAAAATGTGTGGAGACTTCAAAACGGACAACATAATAGGAGCAAACTAGGACTGCTGTTATTTTGGTAACCAAGAGAAAGGACAAGTGCCCTAAATATTTCTAATTATATTTTTGATTAAAGAAAGAGGCATGTAGTTTTCATTTATCCAATATCTCCTAGGACTTCTAAAGTGAATTGGCATTTCATTTGTAGTCACATGACATTAGAAGAGGCACTGTAGGTGGCCAAAATGTGCTTTACAGACACCAATTTGCATGGCAAACAGCTCAGAGCTCAATTTGAACCCTAAGTGGTGTGAACTAGATTGTTCTACGTTCATCACTGACTTTAAATATCTGTTAAAGATTTATTATAGACTTTCAGAATGAGCAAAGGCTTCCATTTACTGAGTAAGGCCTAACATGCTCAGCAGCAGCAAGCTTTCCTTTGGCACTCTGCCAGTGTCTCATTCTATTTCATCAGTCAAACCCAATTTCACAATTGACTTCAATGTCCAGTTCACTTCCACCTGTAACACTAGCTGATAATAGACCCCCAAAGTAGGCAGTTTCTAAAAACTGACATTTTTTTTCAACCAGGAAAGTGAATAAAGGCCACCAAGCAATTTTAAACAAACCAAGAACAGCTAGGCAGTGATAGCTCTCAACTGGGACCAATATGCATGGGTTTGGAACAGTCCAGAGGTCAGAATTTTTGCATATTCCTTGGACAATCACATTGTATCTAGTAGCACTTAATATATGCATGAAGTATGGGACTTTTTTCACAGTAACGAGTTCATGATTCTAATATATTCAACCTCGTTATCAGAAAAGTAGGAAATTTGCCATGAATTTTTATTTTTCTGACTGAAAATTTGACAATAGCCTTTCCTACGTAGACATCAAAAGGGATTATTCAGAACTTGTCTCTCTATATTAGTAAAGCTGCTAATTATGTTTACTTTTGTTGATTTTTCTCCCCTCTGAATAATCCTATGCATCTGGTGGCAGATTATATCACTCCTTTTAGGCACTTTCCCCCCCTACTTAGATTTAAGCATTTAATTCTAAACATAGTCCCTAAAAGTTAAAAATATCTTGTTCAACAAACCAGGAATAATGCACATTGTCAATATCACTAATGAGGGCTTCTTCCAAGCATATACAGTTAAGCTGTGCCAGCATTAAGAAATGTTCACTTTTCTGAAGGTAAGAGTGAGTAAATGTTGAGATGTAATTTAAGAATTAGCAAATTTTGTTTGTCTGGGAAATTACTTAAATCTTTTTTCCTTTGCATATAAACAACTATACAAATCAATAGTACTTTGCATGGCCAAAATATTTTCAGGATATATTTTTCCCCCGTTGAAAGACAAAATAACCTGCCTAGGATCATTTAGGGGTGAGTGGGGTCCTACCAAACCGTGAACGGATTTGTGTAGGCATGTATGAGATGACAGAAACACAAGCACTTAATTCACAGGGAAAAAAATAAGAACAGATAAGGGCTTTTTCATCTGAAATTACAGCCTCCCTCTTTTATAAACACTTTGATATCAGCAGCCACTTTCTCTCAACAGGCAAGCCGGAGATAAACGCGCTGCGTTTGCGGAGGCGCCGAGCGCTGGAGCATGCTCACTGCAGCCCCAGGTGTGACCCCTGCTCTTCTGGAGCAGCAATTGGACCAGGCAATCCATCACAGTGCTCCTCCTGTCAGGCCGGGTGCTCGGCTGCAGCTGTCTGTCACACTGGTGGATGGAACCTGCTTAAAGGCAATCATGTCAATCTCTATGTGACTACTCAGACTAAGATAGAAGGATGATCTTGACAGGCTTGGCAAAGTCAGCAGAAGGCACTAGAGGACTTCAGTTACACGCTTAAAATTTAGATGCAATTTGTGCTTCTCATGTGGAGGGATCGAAGAGGCACCACAGCACTGTGTTTTATAGCTGGTCATCTCGGATGAATCTGTTGCCCTCAGAATGTTTTCCGTAGTAAATGTAGCGACATTTCCCCAGAATGCCTACAATAAAAAGGAAATTAATTACAGTTAGGACTGAAGTGGCATAATATGCAATAAAGCACATAACTAGGGAAATTTGAAGGAAGGAAGGGAGCAATTTTCTCTTTTCCTGCAAAAGAAAGTTTGTGTATTTGAAATATTCAGTATTGCCATTTCAAACAGCAGTTTTGAATCCACTGGGAAAACATGTGTTCAAATACATGCATGACCTATCCTGTTAAACAAAAATCCACAAGTCTCCTCAAAATCAGAACTACATAACACTGAAACATCACATACTGCATTTTAAATCACAGCACCTCTCTTCTGCTTTTGAAAAACAGAAAGTCTGGGTTGAAGTTATATTTTGTGCTTTCTGTTCTGTTCCTGCTATTTATTTAAAAGGTTTTCCTGGTGAATGAAACCAAAAAGGAAAAAAAAAACCAGCAAATAATTACAGTTTAATGTGGATCCTGGAAGAACCCTTCAAACTTTCACAGAGTCGTACTGCAAACACCTAAAGCCATTCCTGCTTTCCAGTGACAGCGAAGTGAAGTGACCGGCTGAAATCTGCATGGGAAGTCATCAACAGACACGGGCTAGAACAGTTAGCCCTCCAGACTCCAGCATACAAACAAACATTTAGTAAAAACATTTCCAAAGTATTTCTCAGAACACCATCACAACATTCCATGAGAAAGATACAATTATAATTATGTTACATATTGGCATATGGAGTATGCTTTCAAAAATTATCCAGAATACTGGTTTTGGGAAACAAGGTGTGTTATTCTCAGTGAGTACAGGCAGAAAGATGCCTGAGGAAGCCTTAACTGCTGCGGGTGAGACACACGTACCTGCAAATCTCACTACCTTATTCAAAAGCATCCCCTCTGGTGGTACTAAGTGGTATGTGAAAGCGTAAGTTCACAGTCACATCCCACCTGAGAACATCCTCAAAGATGCTAAATTTTACTAGCAGAGTTATTCTTTGAGCCCTCACACATGTATAGTCAAATTAAAGTCATCTCCCACGAACAGAAAGAAGGTGGAAGGGTCTCCTCTACCTTGGGAGTGTCTTAACAGAGCAGTCACTCTGCAAGTACCTAGCTCACCTCTATAAGGGCAAACATAACCTACCCCAAAGGGGACAAACACTGCCTTACATAAAGGGTAAAGACAGGGGAGGAGCAGAGCCTCAATTCATTGTTGTTTTAGATTTCCAAGACTCCCATAGCAAATACTGTGCCCACCTGCAGTATGAATTCACTATACAAGCTTTTATAATCTGCATCCATTTTTTTCCAGTATAACATCTGTCAGATAAGATCCTAAAGCTTTGGAAGGCATGGGTTGTGCAAGATTAATGCTCTTCTTTCTTTCTAAGACATCAGGATGGTAACACATTCCTATGAGGGTGGGGAGAAAAATTGATAGGTCTGTCATTTGTTGTGAAAAACATTCCTCTTCAGGATAACACAGATGGGGAGTATATGGTGCAGTGTCCAATCCCTTTGCCCTCCTCCATAGAGCTTTCTTCAATAATTTCAATTTCAATAATTTCAATTTCAATAATTTCAATTTCAATAATTTCAATTTCAATAATTTCAATTTCAATAATTTCAATTTCAATAATTTGACTAGTGGAGCAGTTTAGCATTCCTAAACAAGCATCTAATGAACAAGATTTTCGTCCCCTAAAAAGATATCCCAAGTCAGGCTGCAGCAGGCATTAGGTTGGTAACAAGGCCATTTAGAGCTCTAAATGCAAAGGATATGAGCAGTTTATTAATGGCATTCTTCAGACTCCTTTTTCGCTGGCATTGATAAAAGTCTTGTTTGAGGTCTGCCGCATTTCTTAAGGACTGGAAGCAAGACTGTTTATAGAGATGCTGGTGAGAGAGTGCTGTTTGATGAATGCTGGAGACTATAGCTAGGTGTCAGTGCTTAGAAAATGAGGCAAGGACATGAGGTATTAATATTGTCAATGATCTCTTGACAGGAAAACAGATACTGCATTCACCGTCAGATTTAAATAGACATCAAGTGCATTAATGACAAAAGGGCAGACTTCAAACAAAGGGGGCTGTATGGTGCTGCGCTGAGCCAGTCTCCAAGTTGGCAATAACCTGATCTGAAAAGACACTGTCAGGGCTACAGACAGGCCCGGGATTGTGTGCGGTGACAGAAAACAGAGATGCTGACAGAGATACCGGTGCCATATTATGCCAAGTATATTCTAACACTGTCTCCAGCCCTAACTAAATCTGACATCATTTCCTATCGCTTATAGTATTCTCCACTGCTCTGGCAGATTATTTCTCCCCAGACATCATTACAAACTCCACTGTAGTTTTAAAGTTACTGGCAGCCCTGTGCTGTTGTGGAGGCTGGGTCTAGAGGCCTAAGGATAACCTCAGTCAATCTAAATTTGGAGTTTGCTGGAGAAGTGCTCTCATTTTCACTGATATCTCAGCTACTTGAGGTGATCTGAACGCTAAAGTGTGAGGAGCTGTCACCTTGAATAAAATCCTTAAAGTAAAGATGCTCTGTTCCTGGGATGTTCAGCAAAGATGTCGGACAGTCTGGCAGCAGGAAATGAAATCCAGCTGCTGCTGCTCGCCTGGGGATAAAGGTGCTTGGGCTAGTGACAGTTAAAGTCAGCTGAAATTTTTGAAATCCTGCAGCCTACAATTGTTTAAATTAAGGAAGTGTTGTCTCCGCAGAGATTCCCTACCCAGGCACACAGCTGTGATTCGATTGCCAGGCATATTACACACACTGCTCAGAGAGTCTTGATAAAAGCGCAGTTGAAAATGTTGCCATGAGACCTTATTTATCATGAAGGTTATTTGTAAAACAATAATCTCACTCATAAATTAAATGCAGTGACTGGTGTGGTTTTTTCTTTTGTTTTGTTTTTCCTCTTCCCACCTCCCTTTGGCAACTACACAAAAGGTTTGTGTGAGAATTTTGATGCTAAGATATTTCACGTGTGAATTTAGGAAAGCTAGTGCTTCTTTTCTGCCTTTCTGCTATGGTATTCTTTCCTTGTAGTTCAGGGGCAAGAGAACACTTGTGCTTTTGCACACAGGCAAGGGGAGGAATAGGGGAAAACAATACAGTTGTGGCTGTTCTGGTGTTTTTTAATTAAAATATCCAGCATTGGCCATAATAAGCTATACATCAAAACAATACACAGCATCCTGAATGAGGTTTCTGCTCAAGGTTCTTAAGAAATGACAACACAAGGTCTCTTGAGGGATCATCTTCCCTGAATGAGGCTTCTAATTTTTCTTAAGTAGCTGATTCTACCATCACCACAAGCTGTTAAAACTATAATTATGAAAAAAATGCATTGAGAAGAATCCTTTTTAAATTCACTCTTTATCTTTTAAATGTTTTCACCCTTTGGAATGGATGTTCTAATTATGCTGGGTAAGTAATGACCTTGCAGTTGCCTGCATGTGTTGTGGTATCAGTCTTTCTTCACAAACACATTGTAATGTCAGCAACACCAGCTTTTCCTTAGCTGAGGGAAAACCCAATTATCCAAATAAATAAATAAATACATACATGCATACTAAAACACATGAAAAAGTTCAAGTCATGTTAGCTCCTTTTAAATTGGGCATGTTTCGCAGAGAGCTATGTTACACTTGGACCTCTATACACTTTCCTAGAGAAAAAAAAGTTTAAAGATCTTCATGTATTATATAAAAAATGGTAAAAATAAGTTCCAATGGAACGTGCTAGACCTATAGATCATACAGCCTGCGTTAGTTACAGGTCAAAATTCAGCTCAAGCCAACAGTGATGTAAAGAAATTGTTGTCTAATAGCATCTTGTTGCCTTTCTTGCTTTTATCTTTTTCCTAGCAAATAAAAACTCTATATCTACAAAAATACTACCTCTCAGCCATCACAACTCAGGGAGCTGTTAGGAACACAGCTTCCTCCAGTAGCTCAGTTTTCTCTAAAAAGTAATTACTAAAACTAAGTAGTCAAGCCCCCAAAATTTTGCCATCCCCCTCAAAACCTATTGCCACATCTGCCCAACACCCCTATCAGGCACTCATTTTAACATCAAATGTTTTTAATAAATCCCTCTGCAAGGAAAAAAAGCAAAATATTCACAGTTAAATTTTTTTGTCAAACACTGGTCTGCAGTATATATCAGGGACTACATTTCAGTAAACAGCCTTCTGCCTCTCTTTCAGATGGACTAACCACAGGTCATTCCACTAGGTCAGATAAAGTGTGGCACTTCATACACAGACTCAATATTCTAGTGGAAGTCCACCTCACCTAACTTTAATTAGAGTACAGTACCTAATCCTTCGCTGCCGATTTGTATTTGATCCATATTCATCTCTTTTTGTACAACCTGCTGTTGTGTAGTTTTGCTATGGGCTATTAAACAGCTGCCATGTTCCACCAAGAAGCTGGGTGCATTTCAGTGTAGCTATACTACCAATCTGTAAATTGTTTTGAGACCCTTCAGAATGAAATATCAATACCATTATCGTTTTTTTTCATAGGCACTTGGGCATATTCTACAATTAATGAACAGAAGTTGCAAAATTCCCTTAAATATTAATATAAACTTCCTTTAAAGGAAAATAATTCCCTACTGATAACATTTAGAGGAGAATAAATACCCATCTATGAACAGTTTCAAGTCTAAAATGCTACCGATTTAGGCAAAACACCTCCATGAGTCAAATTAATTTAAAACTCTTAAAAATCTTTTCATCTAAGGAATAAGCAAAGCTACTTTAAAAAAAAATCCTTTTGTACAGGAGTTTAGAAATTTTTCATTTTATATTTATCTTCCTGGAAATTTTAACAACTTTATCTAGTTGTCTAGTTCACAACTTCTTATTTTCAATTCCATTTTGACTTTCTATGAGAAATGCAGTACTAGAGATTTTGAAAAAAATTAGAAGTCTAATCCTCTCACCTTCAGTAGCACATAGGTTATATTTTTCTGCTAAATCAGGAGAATTAAATTATATACAC